TTGCGGCCCTACTTTTTCTCTAATTTTGGTCTGCAAACTTAGGTTGTGGACCCTCCAGAAGACAAGCTTATTGTTATTACCATACAACGTAGGCTGTTAAGCTTAACCTCACCATCTGTCTGAATATCAAACATCTTAGGCATAACATGGAGCAGGTATTTTTCATCAAGTATTGATATGTTGAACTTTAAGTCCCTACAGAATACGATGAAAAACATTTAAAAATTAGAATATATTTTAAAAATAGGCATAAAGAATTATATAATTCTTATGTTTACACGTAAGTCCAGAAATCTAACCATATGCAACCTTGAAGCAGGACAGTCCTATAACATTATGCGTACTATCCTTGAATTCATATGCAAAGCCATTTCTTTTCAGCTATTATCTAAAGTTATACAAAAGGCAATGCTAAAATTTTAAAAAATGTGTAACAAGAATTTGAAATAAGGTTCAACCACATAAACTAGAATAATTTCTTTGTTCTTCATTCATTTTCTGTGTGTGACAATCTCCTAAATTACTTAAGTCTTAATAGTTACCTGAACCTCTGAATTGGAGTCAATAGGCTGTAGTGAAAACCAAGTTTCTTTGCCACTATGGTTACATAAATCTTCTTTTTTGATGGCTACCTTTCCTGTAGAATATAAGCAAAACAATATGAGAAAACATTTTGCATAATCCTAAGGCTAATTAGCACTGTTACATATAATATTTTATAAAAACAGAATAACTTGTGCCTATTAATACAAAGATCCATTTTATAAACATTTTTCCTATAATCTAAAGAATGAAGAGGTGTCTCATTTCCTCTTGCCCTTTGGATCACTTTGAATTAGGTGACTATACAAAAACTCAGTTGTACTCATTTATATGCATCTTTATTTTTTAGCATTTACTCAGAGTCACACTTTTACTCTCAATACATTCAGTTTAAAAAGCAATGTGTAACAGTAGCAAACCAGTCTTCTTAGTTCTTTAAAATAGTGAATAAAAGTTTTGGTTAATTTTGACCAAATATATCTCCATATAGTAAGAGGATATAAATTCCAATTAAGTAACAAGGAAAAATATACATCACTAACAAAAGTGACAATTGACTTGAAAAGTATTTTATTATGAAAAATTCACTTTAGCCAAACCTTATACACTGCGGAGATAGCTTGGTAGTCTAATGCCTGCCTGGCAAGCACAAGGACCTGGGTTTGATTCCTGGTACCTCATGTCATGCCAGCCCCGGAAACCACCAGGGGTGGTGGTGCACACCTGTAATCCCAGTGTTGGGGAGGCTGAGACAGGAGGATCATTACTAGTCCAAGCTGCATAAGAACCTATACTGAATAAGTAATTTAAAAAAAAAAAAAAAAACAACTTCAATAAAATGCTATAAACACTGACTATACTGTTTCAAGGTATAAAAAAAATCAAAGGAGTTCCCTAAAGAGCTTCGACCTCAGGAGAAAATACAACACAATAATCAATGTGTAGTGTGAAAGAAAGAAACAAAAAAAAAGAGTTCACATTATAATGATATACTTGTTATATTGGTACAAAGCCATTTCCTTCCTCAATTCAAGTTTTTAAGAAGTATATAGAGTTTTACATATGACTAACAATTTATTAAATATTCTACACAAATGTTTCAACTAAGGATATATAGTAAATTTTCACTTTCATTTTTTTCAAATAAGACTTTTTAAGTGTCTAAATTATACTTCATATCTTTTCACTTATAACATACCCTGGTCTTTTAGTTCAACATTTGAAAATTACGAAGAAATTTTTGTGTGAAAACAGGTCAACTGGGCCAGGGAGATAGCTCAGTAGTATAAGTGCCTGCCTGGCAAGTTCAAGGTCCTGAGTTCAATCCCCAGTACCAAAAAAACAA